TGGGTTCCCAGACTGGACATAATCCGAGACAGAGGACTGGAAACATGCCGGAGCAACCAAGGGGCTGTCAATCAGACCAATCAGACAGGTAACACATACAGGCAGGCAGTAATGAACACACAGATCCATGAACCGTGACAAAAAGTATACATTTTAATTAGGAAATGTAGTGGAGTAAAAGTAAAAGTTGTCTGAAATATAAAAACTCAAGCAAAGTACAGATACTCCCAAAAGAACTTTTCCACGACATTCTAATTTATTGAGATGCACCTGTAAATGGCTTATGACTCAGTCTTGATTATTAATTGACTAATTTGATTATTATATGGTAGAAATGTTTGAGCTCATATTGAGGCATTTGACTTGGTGCACACTTTGTAAAGTTATTGAGATCACTTCTGAAATTTAGAGGAGACAAATGTGAGAGATCCAATAGTCTCTAGCTAAGGAGAAAAATCTAAGCACAATGTGTGATTTTGTTGAGATCTCATCTAAACATTTGAGGAGACACATGTAAGAGATACAGCATCTCTAGCTAAAGAGAAAAATCTGAGCACAGTGTGTGATGTTGTTGAGATCTTGTTTGAAACATTGGAGGAGAGAAATAGGAGACCACCAGAGTCTTTAGATTAGGAGAAAAATCTGAGCACAGTATGTGATTTGTTGAGATCTCTTCTAAAGCTTTAAAAACCACTGTGAGAGTGTTAGAGTTTTTGTCTCAGGAGACAAGTTTGAGAAACAGGAGACTCAAGCAAAAGTTTCAATTCAATCTTAAAGTAACCTCATTCCTGTCTAGGAGAAATATTTGAAATGTTAAAGAGATTTTTTTTTTTCCTTCCCTCTGGTTAGCTTCAATGTCATTTATCCACACCATTTCAATCAAAGACAATACATGCATTTTCATATGTGAAGTTGTTTTATGTAGACAGTGTTTTATTGCACAAGGATTTAACAGAATAAACCATAACCTATATTTACATACATGCAAAAATGGGCTGTACAAGACAAAATTGTAATGCTAAACAAAGCAAAATACAAAAACAAAACATTGGTACACTAGTGTTACATTTGTTAAAAAAAAGGTATTGCTCTTATACTAAACATCTTGCACTTGTAAGTCCTTTTGGAAAATGTGGTGTATATACAATGCTGGACATTGAAGATAAATTTAAACATTTAAACTAGTAACCCTTGATATTCTGAAAGGTTTAATGCTATTTAAATGATAGTTTTAGTATTTACAATATTAGTAAAACTTTAATGTTTCTCCTAAAAGAAAACTGAAGACATCTTAAGACAAAGCTGATCTCAATGAGACATATAAGAGAATCACCTCTTAGTCTCCTGAGCATAGAGTAACCTCTGTCAGAGCCATAGCCTTGTGAGCAGCACATCGATGTGAAGGCACAACTTCACCTCAGACAGCATGAGTTTAAATCCCAGCAAAAGGTACTTTTCTGCTCCCATTCAATTCTCACATGTCCAATTGTTTTCTGTCTCTACTCTAACTGTCCTGACCATTAAAGGTAAAACCCCCATTGCAATAAAAAAGGGGGGTGCGGTGGAGTGGGGTATGAGTAGTTAAGAGCGAATGAATGAAATGCATTTGTCGGTGTTTCACTCAGTCTCGAATCGTGCTCACGAAAAGCGCTTGAGAAACAGTGTCTTTTCCGTGGCTCGGTACACTTTCAAATCGTTTTTTAGTCTCGAGCAAGAGACTGTTCGACATTCACATTACATGATTTGACTGATTTTGACGTAGAAAGGGCGACAGCGCACCGCATTAAAAGAAATTATCATTCATGTTTACAGAACCTCTGGCCAAATTCAAAAATGAAACTAAAATTAAATAATTTTTGAGAGCAAGGGGGCCCCTGGTGTTTCGGGGGCCCTACGCAGCTTGTGTATTTTGCGCATAGGGAGGATCGGCTCTGCACGGAGCAATAAAATATTCCTATAATGGAGTCTTGATAGAGATTGCAGCAAGACAATAAAGATATATTCCAGGTTTCTTTCACCACAATCTCAGTTTTGATTATTTTCTCTTTTTTTCTCAAATGTTTCTCATGTCTCATTTGTGTCTACTTCTATTTATCTTAAGGAATTTTAGGAGAAACATCTGAAATGCTGTTGATTCTAAAATGAGAGATATGTGAGGATCTCATCTAAGTCTCCTGAGCTTAGGAAAAGCAACCACTGGGCAATAATTTTTCCTATAGGATGTTCTGTTGGGAAGCTGAATGTTGAACCATGTGAGTCCATGTGTTTGTGTATTTTTATTCTCAAATGAATTAGCTGAGTTCATCAGATGTGCCTTCAGAATCCGTGTATCATTCGATCATTCGTGTTTTGATTTAATATTGAAAGTAGAAAAATTAGAAAACGGCTCCTTTTTCGTTTTTTTTTTTTTTTTTTAACGAAAATTCAGTTTAAATTTTCGTTTTTCGTTCATGGGTGGAAAAATTAATAAACAGCTTGAAAATTCGATTTCTACACGTGGGCGGGAATCAAACGCCCCTTTCTGCTGATTGGTCAGCTGAAGATCAAACCGTGCCTTCTTCTGTTCTTCCGCAGTATCACGCAGCAGAATAATAGTCCTCCACTGCTGCAGTTGTATGGATTCTTAACGCATTTATTGCAACTAGATTTAGTCTTTTTTCATCAAACAAACAGGCTTATGAATAGTTTAAAACTCTGTGTAAACATACTGTAAGCATGTCAACTTATTTCGAAAGTATGGAGCACAGCGATAGATGGACGGACGCTTAAGTGCAGGCACTTGTAGCAAATGTAGCACTGCCAGTTGTCGTTGGAGATTCTTAGTCCTCCTTTCCGTTCTTTCAATCGCTTTACATATACGTCGACTTTCCATGTCCACTGTGAAACCCGCGAGACACAACAAAAACACAGCTCCGATCACAGCATCCTCCATCCTCCTGTTGTTAATGTTGTTCTTTGTTTTCATTGTTGAACGCTGCGCACAAATTACGTCGCTGTCGACCGGCTTACGTCACTTCTTAGTACACACTGTCGGTGCGAATGGTACTGGGAAATAGTTTGCTCAAAATCGTCCCAGTACTTTAGTACCGTACGTTTAGTTCTGGAACTAAAGCGGTGCGAAAGGGCCTAATTATTGAAGCAGTAAATCATGCATTTTTATTTTTGAGGTGTGTATGCAGATTTCTACTGCTTATATATTTACTGCATATTTTATTTGTTCAAGTTTTTGCAGTACTTAATCTAAAGTTGAAACTATTTATCATTTTGAAATGTGTATATAAACGTTTACTAAACATTCAGTACATTTATGGGAATTTGACTTTTTGCTGCTGTAACAAAGTGGGAGTAAAAGTTGATTAGTTAAGTGTATTTATATTCTTGCTTAAGACATAAAAACAACAAATAATAGCAACAAGAACAGCATATTAAGGAAAAAAACTTTGATAATAGAATAAGATGACATACTTGCAAAGTAACTATAGTCAGTAAAATATCTAAAAAGTTATTTATAGTTTGTAGAATGTCTGAAGTGGACACAAATGTTACCAAATATGCCCAAACATTAACAAGTACATTATCTCACAATTGTAGCTATTTGAATATTTATTAACTAATGATCTGTTAAACATTACATAATGCCTATTTTTAACTGAAAGCTATTATAAAGTGTTACACTGTTCTATTTTTTCCTGTTTGTTATTCGCCCAGTTCACTTTTCACTCAAATTGTTGATAATTACTGATAATTTACTTTGTAAAGAATTCCAAAAAAAGGAAAATTTTCACTAGTTTTTACTAGAATTTTCACTAGCTCAGACTTTTAAATCGCAATATATATTACTGTATGATTATTATTATTTAGACAAATCAAACATCTTTTTTAACATATAATACAAATACCCCTAGGTGATCCCAAATAAACATCATGCAGCACACAAAACGTCCTGCCCAGAACTGTCAGATATTAACTAAGTTAAAGACTTTGTTTGGCAAGTTTCTTCATATCCCAGTGTGAACAAACTGACAGATTGGGGGAAATAGAATCAAGGCTTGCTTTTTTATGTCTTTGGATATGCTTCATTGTTTATGCTTCTACATCAAATGGTAAGGCATTTCTTTTTTAAAAGAATTAGTAAATTATCACATACAAATTACAGCAATGATGTCATTTTCTAATGGTCTAACAGGTTGCTCTGAGATCCCAGTGGTAGAGAATGCAGAAGTTTCTGAAAGCTCAAAAAAACAAACAATACTGTGATGGTGACTACAATTGCGTACATGGCTGTCTCTCAGAGAAAAATAATCTACAATGTAGCAATAATGAATGGACTAAATGCTGTGGTGATAAATGTTCACGTGGGTATACAAGACACACACACACACACACACAATGTATAAATCTCTGGACTGCTGTACAATACTTTTAAATCTAATTGTATGCATCTGAAGTAACCCGAGTTACTTGTTATCAAGTAATAATCTCCTTGGCCTTCAAAGGCTGAATTTTCAGAACTATATCTTTTGCTTCTGATTCATCATCAGTCAAACGCTGTGAGTCACCTGAAGATATTCCAAATGGTCGTTACATTATTGAAAGTGGAAGAAACTTTGTTTTTGGAACAACTATCAAGTATATCTGCAACGATGGGTAAGTATGTAAGTATGTTACTCCCAAACACCGGAACACATAAATTATAAAAGCTTCTGAGTGGATAAAATGTGATCAATTGTCTGCTTTCTCTAGAGGCAACATGTCCTCTACAGTGGAGCACAACAGTGGAAGACTTAAAAATTGAGTGACTCCCTGATATTGAGGGTCCCGTCAAACCTGGACACAGGCTAACTTTTTCATGCACTGGAGAAGGGATGAAATTAAACGAACAGAGGGACATCACCTGCTGGACAAACTGAGAATGGAGCAGCCCTTTTCCTAAATGTCAAGGTAAGCAAATAGAAAATAAAAGCTTCTGATTGGCTAAAGATGGATCTGTGGTTCACATGAAATATGCATGCTTCTTACACCAGATCACCAAGGACACTTACTTTAAGTCAAATAATTTATTGACGAAAGAGAAAACAATAATAAAACTAATAATAATATTAAGGAGCAATAACTTCTGGGTGACCCAAGGCCAAAATAACAAACTTAAAAAACAAAAGATATAAATAACCCAAGCAATGGAAAACAAATTACAGAAAGACTTCTTTCTGCAAATAAGAAACGCAAATAAAAGAAAAAAAGAAACTGTCAACAAAATAAATGGCAGGTCACCCCTACACTCCAAAAGCATTGAAATAATGCACAACAAACGAAAGTGGTCAGTTCAAAGTTGACACGAAGCACAGAATATTTAAGGATCACAAATTAACAATTATAAATAGCAAGTCCCTTCTACAACATGATCTCTTGAGTGGAATATGTATAGTAGCCTATAATGCAAAAAAGGGAAACCAATCTTTAAACCATAACAAGCAATATCGTGTTGGGAATCTGTCGCCGAGAGAAGGAATCAGGAGCTCTTCCACACTGAGATGACAAACACCCGGAATGAGCTTGGGACAGCACCCTTTTAAGTCGCACGTCGATAGACCCACCAATCTTGTTCTCCTGTTGGCAACCAATCCCTGTTCAGACCATAGACTGTATAAAACATGAACGTAGTGTCCATGGCATCACACATACGTTTCTGAAGTGCATTTTTGAAGCCTAAAGTGAGCAGAGTCTGTCATCGCCATCTTGGCAGCGCTTCACCATTTGTCACTCCAGGATAATCGAAAATGGGCAAAGAGGAAGGACGTGGGTGGAGCTAAGCTGTCTGGTTGCTGAATCCACCAGTCACTCAAATAGCCACGCCTTTAATTATGCAGAACATTAAAGGGTTAGTTCACCCAAAAATGAAAATTCTGTCATTAATTACTCACCCTCATGTCGTTCTAAACCCGTAAGACCTCCGTTCATCTTCAGAACACAAATTAAGATATTTTTTATTCATTCTGAGAGCTCTCTGACCCTCCTATAGCAAGCAATGTAATTACCACAATCAAGGTCCAATGCAATGTAATTGTTTGTCTCCTCCGCGTCACGCTAGCGCCATTTTGGAGAGTATCCACTAAACACAAACAGCGTATGCTATTCTGTGTCAGCTGCGTCACGCGAATACTTTTTCTACGTTGTTTACGCTTTGATTTGAACGAAAACAATGTATCCGCGTGATGCAGCTGACACAGAGCAGCATACGCTGTTTGCGTTCAGTGGATACTCTCCAAAATGGCACTAGCGTGACGCGGAGGAGACAAATTGTTGAATAAAGTCGTGGATTTTTGTTTTCTTTGCATACAAAAAGTTTTCTCGTAGCTTCGTAAAATTATGGTTGAACCTCTGATGTCGCATGGATTATTTTACTGATGTCCTTGCTACGTTTCTGGACCTTGATCGTGTAAGGACCCTTGCTGTCTATGGGAGGGTCAGAGAGCTCTCAGAATTCATCAAAAATATCATAATTTGTGTTCCGAAGATGAACGGCGGTCTTACGGGTTTAGAACGACGTGGGGGTGAGTAATTAATGACAGAATTTTCATTTTTGGGTGAACTATCCCTTTAAGGCTTAATATAATTTAAACAGATGATTTATAAAAAATCACCCCCTCGCAGTTGGGCAAAATTAGATGTATAGACCAAAACCACTTTTTGTACCAGGCTGTAAACATATTTTTTTCTGCTGTAAAGTTGGGCATTGGGGGCGGGGGTGGTCTTTTGAGATTGACCTTTCAGAGCCAGTCGATGAATTGCAGTTTAAGTCAATTCTGTGTTGGATTCAAGAGAGAGACCGGAAGGTTGCCACTTGGTACAGACACACAAACAAACAAACGAGCAAACCACAGCAGAATCATCGTAACATGTTGCAAACCTCACAGCGAACATGAGATCGGACAGGCCTGAGGTTTAAATCAGACCAGGACACACAATTACTCTTTCACACATTGGGAGGGTATTTACATTACAAAGACAGAGCAAAATCACCTGCCTGTCAAATGGAGAATGGAGAGCCCCATTCCCTAAATGTATAGGTAAGCTCATAGGTCTTATTAGCAGCGTTTGCAAGGATTACTATTGCTCATATAACGTAGATGCTAAACATTGGTAGGCAATTCATCAGCACCCAAGTCTCTTTTGATTTGGGCCAAGAAACAATCACCTAGCAATGACCCAGAACCAGAGGCGGACAGTAACTAAGTACATTTACTTGAGTATTGTACTTAAGTACACTTTTTGAGTATCTGTACTTTACTTGAGTATTATTTTTTCTGGGAACTTATGACTTTAACTTCACTACATTTGAAAGACAAATATTGTACTTTTCACTCCACTACATTTCTATCAAGGTCCTCGAAGTAGAAAGCCGTTACTATGTAGCAGCTTTGAAAGTCAGTGGGTGATTTGTTTCTTCTCTAAAATATGACTCTCTTTTTTTCAGACAGTTTATCAGTAATCACTCTTGGGGCTACATGAAGTGATTTCCCAGCATTTTTTGAACACTGCCCAGTTGCAAACGTGATATTTATTTACAAATAGATGTGTGCACACACTGTCAGAGCTGTGTGAGATCACTACCATCCTGCTTTTGTGGGGGTGGGTAGGGGTGTTAACGTTTTCCCCCATAGGTTTTTAACATTCTAAAAGCTCTTTATTCCAAAGATACTACAAGCTAGTAGGTGTAATGTATTCTAAGTTGCATCAGAAGTATTGCAAGTATTACGTACAACAATAAAACAGTGCATTGACATAAAAAAGGAAATTTACTTTTGGTACTTAAGTACTTTTAAAAGCAAGTACTTCTGTACTTTTACTTAAGTAAAAAATCTGTCTTTACAACTTTTACTTGTAATGGAGTAATATTTGACCAGCAGTATCTGTACTTTCATTCAAGTAATAGAGTTGAGTACTTTGTCCGCCTCTGCACAGGAATAACACTTTATTAACACAGTAATAACACAGAAATAGTTCAGTAATAACACAGGAATAACACAGTAATAACACAGGAATACACAGTAATAACACAGGATTAACTCAGTAATAACACAGTAATAACGCAGTAATAACACAGGAATAACACAGTAATAATAGAAATTACTCGGGAATAACACATTAATAACACAGTAATAACACAGAAATGACACAGGAATAACAAATAACACAGGAATAACACAGAATTAACACATTAATAACACAGGAATAACATGGTAATAACAGAAATAACTCAGGAATAACATAGTAATAACACAGGAATAACAAAGTAATAGCACATTAATTACACCGTAATAACACATAAATAATTCAGTAATAACACAGGAATAACACATTGATAACACAGGAATAACACAGTAATAACACATTAATAACACAGTAATAGCACAGAAATAACACCGTAATAACACAGTAATAACACATAAATCACACAGGAATAACACAGGAATAACACAGGATTACAGTAATAAAATAACTAATACAGGAATAACTCAGTAATAACACACAAATAACACAGTTATAACACAGGAATGACACATTAATAACACAGGAATAACACAGGCATAACACAGTAATAACACAGGAATAACACAGTAATACACTGGAATAACGCAGTAATAACAGTAATAACACTGGAATAACACAGGCATAACACAGGAATAACACATTAATAACACAGTAATAACGCAGTAATAACACAGTAATAAAACAGGAATAACTCAGGAATAACACATTAATAACACAGTAATAACGCAGTAATAACACAGTAATAAAACAGGAATAACTCAGGAATAACACATTAATAACACAGTAATAACGCAGTAATAACACAGTAATAAAACAGGAATAACTCAGGAATAACACATTAATAACACAGTAATAGCACAGAAATAACACAGTAATAACACAGTAATAACACAGAAATCACACAGGAATAACACAGTAATAACACAGGATTACAGTAATAAAAGAACTAATACAGGAATAACTCAGTAATAACACACAAATAACACAGTTATGACACAGGAATGACACATTAATAACACAGGAATAACACAGGCATAACACAGGAATAACGCAGTAATAACAGTAATAACACTGGAATAACACAGGAATAACACATTAATAACACAGTAATAACGCAGTAATAACACAGTAATAAAACAGGAATAACTCAGGAATAACTCAGGAATAACACATTAATAACACAGGATTAACACAGTAATAACACAGAAATAACACAGGAATAACTCAGTAATAGCAGAAATAACAGGAATAACACAGTAATAACACAGGAATAACACAGTAATAACAGTAATAACGCAGTAATAACACAGAAATAACACAGTTATAACACAGGAATAACGCAGTAATAACACAGTAATAAACAAAGGAATAACAAAGTAATAACAAAGTAATAACACTGGAATAACACAGTATCAACAGAAATAACTCAGGAATAACACATTAATAACACAGGATTAACACAGTAATAACACAGAAATAACACAGGAATAACTCAGTAATAGCAGAAATAACAGGAATAACACAGTAATAACACAGGAATAACACAGTAATAACAGTAATAACGCAGTAATAACACAGAAATAACACAGGAATAACTCAGTAATAACACAGGCATAACCCAGGCATAGAGTAATAACACAGGAAAACACAGGCATAACACAGGAATAACACAGGATTACCTCAGTAATAACGCAGTAATAACACAGGAATAAATCAGAAATAAAAGAAATAACAGAGGAATAACAGTAATATGACAGGAACAAT